TTCTTCTTATAACGAACCTCAATTTTCAGTTGGCATATGTCTAACTAACCGCTTATTAGTTGCGATGAATGCACCCATTCGCCTTCGACTGGCTTGCCAGTCCGTACTCTCTCGCTCTCTTAGACCGACCTCCAAGTCGTCGCCAGTGTCCTTAAGGCTTCGCGCGCCTGTTTTGTTAAGAGAATACTCTCGTCATTTCACCTCTTCTGCACAATACAGCGGAGCGAACCGGTTTTCAAGCGAGCTGGAACCCTCGGAAGATGATGAGTTGTCTCCATTCAAAAAGCAGCGCCAGGCTGAATTTCAGGAGGATAAAAATAGCGAGGAACCATTGTTTCCCGACCCATATCCTCGTCTAGAGAAGTCTAAGCATGAGAGGAAATCGGTGTCTGATTTTCTGGCGTCTTTCCACGGAGAGGCAAAGGAAGCGCCCAAGGAGGTAACCCTCTGCGGCCGCATCCGTTCCAAGCGCTCTGCTGGCAAGGCGCTCATTTTTGTCGATATCGTGCATGAGTTCCGGAAAGTCCAAGTTATGATCAATAGGCAGAACCTTTTCACCCGTTCAGAGGACGGCATCAATAAATTCTCCCTGTTCAAGAAAATGATACAAGTCGGAGACCACGTCTGTAAGCTAGATCGGAGCCATCCCTTTACTGTGGTGGTCGCTGACGCAAATTGTAGCCGTAGTTGGTATTCCTTCACGAACAAAGGCTGGCGAGATGACCCTGAGTGCTACCGCCATGCCCAAACTTCTCGCTCCAACCATGGAGCAGATTCCTAAGACGCTCATTGATCCAAAGGCTAAGATGCAAGGCCGCCATGTCGACATGCTCGTAAACCGAGAGGTTGTAGATGTCTTGCGCCTGCGGTCCGAGATCATGAGATTCATGCGCGACCATCTGCATTCGAAGCGCTTCCTCGAATTCCAGACCCCGATCTTGGCCGAGAACGCGGGAGGTGCTGTAGCTCGACCGTTCGTGACACATGCAACTGGGTTCGGAAAGAAGGACCTCTCTCTGAGGATAGCGCCAGAGCTTTGGCTCAAGCGTCTCGTTATTGGAGGTGTTGATAAGGTCTTTGAAATCGGACCTTCTTTCCGCAACGAAGGCATCGACGCTACACACAACCCAGAATTCACCATGTGTGAATTCTATAGTGCCTACACGAACTTGAGTGACTTGATCAAGGAGACGGAAGAGATTATCCACGGGCTTGCACGGCGGTCGCAAGAGCTCATCTCTTCAGAACTCACTTCGCTACAACCAATTGATATGAGTCGCTTTGTGCGACCCTTCAAGCAAGTCGAGTTTGTACCTGGACTCGAAGCTGCCATGGGGATTCGCCTCCCAAAGCTCTCCTCAAAGGACGCTCTCCCAGAACTCATTGCAGTCCTGAAGCTTGCGGGTATCAAGATTGCAGGAGAGACACCAACGACATTGGATAAGCTGCTCGATCGACTTGCCGCGATGTACCTCGAGCCTCAGTCCTTCGATAAACCCCTCTTCATCACCCATCATCCGGCATGCATGTCCCCGCTCGCGAAGAGCTTCCTTTGCCCAAGGACGTACCAATTAGTATCTGCTCGCGCGGAGCTGTTTTTCGGCGGCCGCGAGTTGGCTAATATGTACGAGGAGGAAAATAATCCTGAAGAACAGAAACAGAAGTTGGCAATGCATCGAAGGCTTGCCAACGCTGGGAATGGGAAGGTCGTTATTGAAGAACCCACCACAAGAGAAGTTGAAGAAACGGACCCCGAAGCAGAATTATCCAGCCCCGACGAGATTCTAGAAGAGGAGGAAGAGGATGAGGACGATCTAGAGGCGGCACCTCTTGACGAAAGCTTTGCCAAGGCCCTCGATTTTGGTCTTCCGCCGACTGGGGGCTGGGGCTGTGGAGTTGAGCGACTGGTTATGGTCTTTTCAGGAGCCTCTCGCATCAGCGACTGCTTGAGTTTCGGCACATTGAAGAATGTCGTGGGCCTTACTTCCGGAGATGATTTCCAGAAGCCGGCAATGCCATCACCGGCGAATGGTGATGCCAAAGACCCCACAAACAAAAATCCTCCAAAGGTCTCAGAGGAGTAATGGGGAACGAATTTATTGATACGAAGAAACATGTCATGCGCTGGATATAATGCTGTAACAACAATCTACCTGTATGAGTCACCCTACATTTATACTGTACAACATGTAGAACAAACCTTAGAGATACCTTGGATATGTGGAAACAAAAAAAAATCTCATTACTGGGAAACCTCCCGTGGTCTACTTCACATACCCAATAAGCCTGGCAACAAACAATTGCGGGATCTTAGGGAAACTGGTGTAAACCAAATGTATCTATCACTTTTGCTCATGATATCATACTTTATTGAATATCCGCTCTAATGACAGGTAGATGGGATGTGGCTGCTGTTTCCAAGCATTGCTAAGTTCGAGCTATCTAATCATCCAGACCACCCCATTCGTCCTCATCACCACTATCATCGCTGGGCTCATCCCTTCTCTTCTTGCTCGCAGCAATAGCACCGCGTTTATTATTCTCCTTGCGGCGCTCGAAGCCACTCCGTGAGGTGATCTTGGCCTGAGTCCCACCTCCAGTCCGGCGGGCCTCGACACCACGCTCCTTGAGCTTCTTCCTGTCGGCCTTTGCCACGTTGGGCAGGGCATCCAGAAGCCACTTCTGGACCCCGGCGTCTTCCCCCATCTTCCCGGCCTGCTTCTCGCTCGCAGCGATCACGTTGGCGACCATCTTCACAAAGGGGATGTCCTCTTTGGTGTAGAAGGTCACGGCCACGCCTCCCTCGCGCCCAGCGCGACCTGTGCGGCCGACACGGTGTACGTACGCCGCGCTCGAGCCAGGGACGTCGTAGTTCACGACGCCGTTCACACCGGCAAAGTCAACGCCTCGGGCGAGGACGTCTGTGGTGATCAGGACCCAGATATCTCCCGCCCGGAACTTGCGCATGATGGTGGCCCGAGCCGAATCTGCCAGTCCGCTGTGAAGAGCAGCAATCCTGGTAGAGCCGCCAGCCTCGAGCGGGATGTCATATTTGAGTTCCTCATGCAGCGCCGTGGCTCGGTCGATGGTCTGTGTGAAGACTAGGAACGGGGGTCTCAGGGGCGGCCCGGACTCGTCTCTGGATGATGGGCGGAGTAGTTGGCGGAGAGCTAGGAGTTTTCCCTGCTCGCTTGCGGTGTATGTGAGTTTGTGGGTGATGTTGGGGACGGCTGTGTCTTTCAGGCCGACGACCAATCGCACGAATGGCTTTGGTTTGGTGCCCAGTGACTCTGTACGTTGCTGTAGTCTTTCGGTGACCAGGGATTCGATGTTCGATCCCATGGTAGCTGACCAAAATGAGACTCGCAGCTCTGGTCTCGTGCATGCCGTCCAAAGGCCTAGCGTCTGCTCCCTAAACAGCGGGTCAAGAAGCACATCTGCCTCGTCGAGAATAAGATCCCTCACTGTCGGCAACACCTTTTGCGCTTGGGAAGATCCAGAGTTTAGGAAGTTTAGAAGAAGTAGCGGCGTCGTTACCAAGATGTCGGCTTTCGTCGGTGTCCCACGCTTGGTCTTTTCATACTTCCTCTCCTCCTCGGAATCTGGCTCCTGCTCACTCTCGTCCCCGCTTTCATCAGAGCCATCCTCGGATATCTCCTGCTGATCAGCGGCAACGGCCATGCCTTTCTTCATCGCCACGATTCGGAGCGAGGTGCCCTGCAGAATCTTGCGGCCTTCATTCACGATCTGGTAGGCGAGCTCCCGAGTTGGGGCTATAATGATAGCCTCGAGCTCATGAATATTGTTCAACTTTTCCTCCGACCTCCGGCGCATGATGTTGTTGATGGCGGGGATCATGAAGCTGATCGTCTTGCCACTTCCCGTGGGAGCCACCGCCAGGAAGTCCACTCCATGCTCCAGGCCGCCCTCGTCAGGCAGGGCTAGGTCTGGGCGAAGCAGCAATGGCAAACTGCCCATCTGTACCTCGGTGGGCTCTCGGTATCCTTGAATCACCAAATTCTCGGCGACTCGCCTCGAGATGCCATACGACGTCCGCAGCTCCCCAAAGCTCTCCAGGACCTGCGGGAACAGCTGCTTCTTGTCTTCCTTCTTTGGCTCAACGGCGACCTTCTTCTTTTTCTTTTTAGACTTCTTGACCCGGGACTGATCCTCCACCTTTGACAGGAGAGTAATCTTCAATCGATGCGACTTGAGTAGCTGCCGGCATTGGTCTTCTGTCAAGAGTTTCACGGCTTGGGTGGCCGTGGGAGTCGTCGACGTCTGCTCGGCCTTTTGCTTCTTCTCGTTGCCAGGCTTCGACCCGGACTCTGGCTTGGGCGCGAAAAAATCGACTTCGGGGAGGTCTGATTCGTCCTTCTCCTCGGGCTCATCTGCTACTTTTCGCTTCCTCTTCTGGCCGCGCACTTCGTCGTGGAAGAGCTGGGGGTGAGGCTTGGCTCCAGCGGACGGCAACTGAGCTGCAGCCTTGGCTCCGAGCTGCTTGTTGTTTGTGACCTTTTTGGTACCGCGGGACAGGACTTTGAGGATATCCATCGTGGATGTCAGTTTTCCAGCAATGCTGGTTTAGTGACGAGACAAGAAGTTAAAGATGAAGAGTTGTAGAACCATCAAAGAAAATCGATTTTCGCATGTTCCTGGATGTAGAAATTTTGATGGGTCCGGGTGGGGCCGCCGCTTTAGCAGCTTAGCTCGAGTTTTTGGAGGGGTCCAGGGATAAGATCCAACTACGGCGTATTTACATTGAGGCCATCTCGAAAGAGGTAGATATAGAATGACATGTCTTCATGTATGGATGTTTTATCTAAGAGGAGGCTCATTGGTTCCAGTTGAGACACAATAACAGCCAATCGGCTTGCTGTCGCCAACCCACCACTTCTCTATGATCAGTTTGATAGTGGCCAACGCAGCCATAATATAGAGTCTCAGACCGTAACCAAGCTCGATATACCAAGTATTACTATTAATTATCATGCCGCCCATCACTCAGCAACATCCTCCGCAGACCTAGCATCCTCAGCCCCCTCCCCGTACAGCACCTCGCAGACCCCGCTCAGCGGAATGTCCATGACGGCGTCGGTGCTCTCGTTCCAGATCTCGCGCCACCTCAGCCTCCCGTCCCTCTCGCACTTCCTCTCCCTGCGCGCGCTGCCCCTCAGCCGGCCCTTGTTGTCGATGAGCGCCATCTTGCCCGCGCCGTCCACAATGGTCTCGACGCTGCTCAGGGGCTCCGTCAGGATCTCGACGTTGTACAGCGAGAGGGCCACGTAGATGTAGACGATGGCCATGACGAGGAAGGACGGGACCGCGAGGGCCCACCACCGGTTCGGGTAGTACCTGATGCCGAAGGCGTGCAGGAAGGGGGAGGGCAGGTAGCTCCAGAGCAGGTATATCAGAAAGGCCAGGCTGCTGAAGAGGTAGAGCACGAAGCCGTAGTACTCGTAGGTCGGGACCTTGGGCGCCGCGCGGGGCACGGGGAGCATGGCGTCGTCGTCGGAGGCATCGGGGGTGGTCGGGCGCGACGGGCGCAGCAGAGACGTCAGGGACGGCGAGGGGGGTAGAGGAGTCGGCGGGCGGCCGTAGAAAGGCGGTGCGAAGTAGTTCTGGGACATTGGCTGAGGGGGAGACTCGTCACCGGATGAGCCAGACTCGTTGTCAGAGAGCATGTCATCTTGGTCGTCGGATGAGTGCGACATGCTGGCAACACGATGGTGGCGCCCGAGGAGCACCACCTAAGGTTGAACGAATGGAATGGAATATTCGCAATGGAATGGTAACTGTGACACGCCGTGGTGGTACAACGGCTTGGCGTTTTAAAGCATGTTGATTGTTGGATGTGGTCAGGACTAAGTTCTGGGGCATTGGTCGAGTAGTGGCAGGCCCGAGCTACAGCGCCTGTGACAACGCCCGGATTAGACAAGACATTCCGCCTCGTCTCCAACAACTCCGCCTCCAAACACGAAGAAATCAATAAAGAAAGGATAAATATACGAATCATCTGGACCTCGTCTCGGCACTAATGAAGACTCTAGATAGATGACCACTACCTACTTTATCTACAGACTTTATGCAATGCGGATTTACTGACATACATACATTCTGAGTGACCAGAGAAGTAGATGAAATCTCATACCATCCCTAAGATAGATAATATATTTCGCTCTGGCCAGGCATTATATTTATATAAGTTCCCAATACCGCTTTCTTGATGTAGTGTAATATACGAAAAAAATGTACAAACCCGATCCTCACCCATCGATAGGACACTTATACTCCCTGTCCCGCTCTGTAACCCCGTTCCCTTGCTTATCTTGCTTCTCCTGCAACGAATCTAAACAGCTCTGGTGATATATGTGTCGGCACGCCAAGAGGACCAGCGGCCCCAGCTGGGGTTCCTTCCTGCTCGTCGAGGCGTCCTCACCCTCGGGGTCAGCCACGTTCGGCGGTCCAACCTCCAGGCTCTTGCCCTTGCCCTTACCGCTCGAGTCGCCCGCAGAACGGCCCTTAACCTGCTCCGCGATCTGCATCTTCCTGCTCTTCCTCGCGGCGTCTGAGATGGCCTGCTTCTCCTCCCAGGCTTCGAACACTGCTCCGCCGGGCACACCAGGGCCCCAGACCCTGCGACCACATGCCTCGCAGGTGGAGCCTCGTGGCCGCCACCCACGCTGTCGAAGAGCCACGGCCTGGTTGACGTTTATATACAAGCTCCTCTCTAGGAGGCGGTTCGAAAGCCGCAAAATCGACTCTTCGTAAGCATATGCCGAGAATATCGAGGCGAGGACACCTCTGAGGTCGGCCAGATTAGGGGATGATGCCGCGGCTTCTGTGAGGAAAGCACGCAAGATGCGCAGAAACGAGAGATTGGATCCAGCGTTCGATATGAGCCTTGTTCCGCTCTGGGCGCCCGCGTGATTGGAGGTTGCGGTCAGCAGCGCCGTGAAGGTGTGCTGCACGAGAGAGCGGAGCAGGGTTAGCAGCTTCTCATTATCCACCTCCTTGGGTGCTGCGGCAATGGCTGGCGATAGGCGCCTGGTTATCTGAACGGTGGCGTCGATGAGATCGAGCCAGAGCCGTTCATCAGAAGACAGATCCTGTCCAGACGGCGTAGACTTCTTGGCAACCACGTTGACTCTACCCCGCTTAGAGGATTTCATCTGTCCCTGGCATAGCCAGATGCCCACATATACATATTTTTGGAGACCAAGTAAAAGGTCCTCAGCATTAGTCTGGAGGTCCAGCTCCGAGTCCGCTGGTGCCGACCCCGAGAGCAGGCCTCGAAGAGCCGACTCGAGGTTATTCAGGTGCTTGACAAGCCGTTCCAGGGCCTGCTTTACCTGGCCGTCTTGCGCCATAAGGACAACTGCCGCATCAATAACGCCTGTTTCCTCCATGGTAGGCAAGAGCTTGTCGAGTCGGAGGTTGGCAGATTGAACAACTCCAACGTAGTCTGAGACCCGACCCGAGTCGAAGGTGCACATCAACTGAACATAATGCTCAACCAAATCTCGATCTATGTGCTCGTGCTCTCTAGATGAACCATGAGGCTCTAGCAGCTCCCTCAAGTATTCATACTGTAGCACCTCATCGTCTGTAGCGGAATCTAGTACGGTTTGGTGGGCCTCTTTGGCTTGGGAGGCCAGTGTTCGTGCCGACTTTTCGGCACTAATCTCCAGGAGCTCCCGTGAGTGTTTCTTCACGACATCAAGAACCTCCTGGAGCTGTCGCTCACTCAAACCACTATGCGGACGCAGACAATCCGCGATACAATCAAAGACGGTATCTTGGTCTTCCGGGTCCTCAAAGTACGTAGCCACCAGCAACCCGTACTGTTTGTCAAGTTTGTATATCCTCTTCAAAATTCTATAAAATCCGGCTTGCTTAAAGAGGGGTATCATAGCTGGCATGTCTGAAGGGTGATAAACAGATAAAAGATATTCTGCGCTAAGTTGAGCATCTTCGGCCAGATCTTCCCCAGGGTAATTGCAGAGCCCTTTCAACACGTTCGACAGTGTCGTGCCAGAGAAAAGCAGATACTGCGGGAATTTCGGTAGATTTCGGGCAATAAACATATCCAGGTATATCGTGTCCGCGGTTGAGAAGTTGCCCGGGCTGAGCACGTCGAGGAGAATCGACACAACATACTGACGATTGATCGTTTGCCCGAATATTTGCTCCTCGGGCAGATCCATGTTAGAAGTTCCATTAGTCTGCTTGTCCGGCGAGTCGTTGAGAAACGGGTCTTCAAAAGCTTCATTCAAGGCGCTCAGAAAGCTGGGAGCGTCGTACTCCAGTATCAATCGCAAGTAAGGGAAGGCCGGCTGCGAGTCCTCGTTGGGCCTTACTCGGAGCTCTCGCCCACCCTCCTTTGGCCATGTAATGGTTTGGCCTGAAAACAAGAACCAGTAGATCTCGGCCTTGGCCTTCATGGCTATCTTTTCGTCCATCAGCTCCTCATTCGGATACACTCTCCCTGTTAAAGTGTAGGAAAGGTAAGGGAAGATTTTCACAGCATTGACTCCATGATAGTCTTCGTCAATGCCGTTGGTGGCATGACCGTTCGAGGTAACGGGAATAATGAGACTGAGTAAGTCAATCATTGGAGTGATGTAATCTCCAAGGGCTTGGTTCCAGATATACGTCAGAGCGTCGTACAGCCCATGCTGCTTGCACAGGAGAGTTGTTTGATCCAGGTCTAGAGTACTCGTATCCACGTGGCAGATCATCTCCTCGAGTCGAGTCTCCCAGCCCTGGCTGACGTAGTAAGTAACCATGTCTTTGATAACCGAAGGTGGTACCACAACGATGGTTCTCTCGAGGATGTACGGCTCGAGGGTCTCGAGGAAAATGCCCTCCAACTCGGCATCCTCATACCACTCATACATCTCGTCAAATAAGAAGTCTGTGTTCTCGATGCTCTGGCATGCGATGAAGCAAATCTCTGCCAGTCTTCTGAGTTGTGTGTCGTCTGTATCGTCAGAACTCTTCTTCCGCTGGCTGAAAGCATACTTAAGAGATGCGCTGATAATCTCCATAATCTTATCCCGCACCATGCTGTGTCGTAACGTTTGGTCTTCGGGCAGCCCAACAGTAAGCTTGTTCGCATCTCCTGTATAATAGGATGTGGCAAGCTGGATAGCTCCGATGTAATCCCCGTTCTCCATTATAGCAATCAGCCGGTCTGCCCAGTTGGATAAAGCTCCAATCGACACCTCGTTGAAGCCGAGAAGGAATATCCTGCCCTTATAGGCCTTGAAACTCATGTAAAAAGCATCCCCCACAACGCCGTGCATAGATTCATCCTCCTCATCCAATTGTTCCACGAGCGCGTGCAGTTGGTTAGAGAAAAGATCCACGTGATAAACATGTTTGTGGAGGAGATCAAACGCTTCCGTCATGCGCATGCTCTTATCCTCCAGCACGATCAATCGCTGGGAAAGCGTGAGCACTGTCAGAACCGAGCGGCTCAGCCATTGGACGGCAGCAATAGACTCTTCGCACTTCCATCGACTTCGCGCTTTGAACCGGAGCGTGGGGGGCTGGTCCTTGTCCTCTCCCGGGATCTCATCAACGTCAAGGACGGTCAGGACGTTCGACCAGCAATAGGCAAGTTTCACTTTCGATATGTCACTACCCGTATCACTATCAGGAACCTTGAGTTTGACGGCCGGGAACCAAGCCAAGCAACCTGTCACTGCGCTATGAGCCGGGACATCCTTGGGCCGTGCAGACTTGTGCTGTGTTTGAGCAACAGGAGTTGTGGACACAATCACAAGCAAGTACGGTGTCAACATGGCCGTCAATCCCATCAGATCAGTCGCCCGTTCCACATTTCCTAGAGGCAGTGGTGAAAATGCTAAGACGGTACTCGGCTTCAACGTCTTCCCCGCCGGGGGAGGCGCATTTGGATAGCGACCCAGTATCCGAGTGGTCTTGACTGTCCGGCCAAGGGCGCCCGTCCCACGTGTTGCCAGATGAGAGAATGCCATGCCCTTTTCATCAGCAGACACGAGCGCAGTGTGTCGCGTTCCCAGGAACCCCAAATGAGTAATGGACGCATTGGGCACATGGCCATCAGCGGAGTGTTGCTCAAGCTGAAAGGGTTCTAGATGCGGGATAGAAAGAAATGGACGGGACGCCCGACTTGTATCCCATGTGAAAATGCAACCGTTTGCATGCCCACCCGCCACCGTCGTGTGATCGGCAGAGATAGCTACAGAAGTGATCGGCCCGGACTCAACAGCTTTAAACTATTAGCATGGCGTATACACGGCAGAAATCCCGGGCATTGGTCACATACCTTTTGTTCCAGGCCCTAGAATCATCTTCAAATTCTGGTTAAAATCAAACATTAATATTATCCCCTTGGTAGTTCCTAATACAATCGACGCCGAAACCGCGAGGCATGTCGGTAGCCCGAAATTGCGCTTTCCGGCCTCCGTGAAAGCCTGCCCATTTATTTTCTTTAGCCTTGTCCAACGGACAACCTCCCACGGCGGGCTCTGGGCTTCGGTGTCCGCCTGGTCGAAGAAGAAATTGGAGCTGATAGAAGCATTCCTGCTGTGTGGTGAAAGAAACGCTGGGGAAGGGAACGCTGGAGAGAACAATGACGGGGACCCAGGACGCGGGCTATGTATGCTCGATGAAGAAGAGGCGAGGCGTGTCTTGAAACGGCGATCGAATGGTTTGTAGGACGGGGAAGGGCTACCGTACCCGGGTCGTAAAGCAGTTGCTGGGAGAACGCTGCTTCCCGGAGATGATATGAAGGAACCCTAGAATCAGTCAGAAAACCACATAGCCTCTGATTTCCCACATTGAGAGCACACCATACCTGTACTGAAGGTGTATCGTCTGGTCCAGAGAGTATCGAGTCGATCGGGCTCCCGGCCCTCCGAGGCGGCGCGTCTACGGAGCTCGCATTGACCGAACCAAGCTCTGAGCCTTCTTCCTGAAGCTCCTGGGAAAGCGGTCTTGCTGAGCCGGTGGGCGCAAAGTCCTGGAGCTCCTGAGATGCCGGATCATCCTCATCGTTGACCTGGAGTTGCGGAACGTCTGGATCGAGGTTCTGGGGAGCGTTCACGGACTCCTCATCGGCCGATGACTGATCGCCTGTCATCACTGGTGGTTTGTCTTTTGATTCAGCCATCGCGCCGAGGCTTCCATCCCTATTTCGAAGCTTCAACGCAACGGTGACATGCCTGTTTGTGGCGAGGTGGGCAGGTGGAGGTAAATAACGTGCGCTGGGTCAGCCCGTGCTTGGCTGGGGCAGATAAGGAGCAATTGGAAAGCCGTCAAGTAAACCTGTCGGTAGGCGCTATCGATCCCCTTTGTCGTTAAGGGGAGAGGCAAGATGTTGGAGCTGTCGCAGATGAGAGCTGAATGCGTACTGCAGGATGATGGTCAAGCTAGTTGATTGGAAGCTGGCTGTGCATTTACATCCACTGTCCGCGCAGTCGTACACGCCGGGGATTCCCCGACCCCGATCACAAGCGCTGGGTTGGTCGAGCACTCCGGCGCTTTTGCACGTAATAAGGCCCTTATTAACAGTCTATTCTCTTATATTGAGCCATAATCTATATATATGTATTCATTTCTACATGTGCAATTCACATCCTAAACTAAGGTGTGATTGCCAAACCGAATACCGATCAATTCGTTTAAACTCTCCAGCTGGTTAATGCATGCTGGACACTGTAAATCAGCGGGTCCGGGCAGTGACGTCGCTACAGCCGCTTGTCAACACCACGAAGCTCTGTCGCATCCTGCATCAACAAAACCCTGAACCCCGTTCCCTCGAGTCGCAACATGTCTTCAATAGGCCCGCAGCTCCCACCACACCTTTCAAAGCGCAAGCGCACCCCCGAAGACGATGAAGACGCCAAGCCCTCATCGCCCGCCGCAAAAAATGCCCGGACAATAGGGCCAGCACCGCCAAACCAAGACGAGATCGACCTCGATGACTCCGACTCCGACGACGGGTACGGACCCAAGGCGCCACAGACCGCCTCTGGACCCTCAATGCCCACCAGAAATTCCGAAGAAATAGACCTGGACGGCAGCTCAGATTCTGACGTTGGCCCTGCGCCTCCTCCCAAGGCCGCCGCCGCGGCTGGACCATCGCTACCACCGCCTCCCGCAAAACGCCCAGCTGCTTCGGACTCAGATTCGGACTCGGACTCAGACGACTACGGACCCGCCCTTCCCACAGCCGCCACGGCCAGACCGGTCATGGGACCAGCGATGCCCCCGTCCGTCGACGAGGGACCAAAGCGAGACTCGTGGATGCTCGCGCCGCCGACAGAGACGGGCTACTCGGAGCGCGACCCGACCCGCATCCGCGCGCGCAAGTTCGCCTCCAAGACGTCCTCGTCCTCGGGCTCAAAGGGGGGCGTCTCCTCCATCTGGACAGAGACTCCCGAGGAGAAGCTGCAGCGCCTGCAAGACGCCGTCCTCGGACGCGCAGCACCTGGCAAGGACGGATCGTCTGCCGATGATGCGAGAGCGAGGGAGGCAGAGGAGAGGAATCGGAAGATTGCTGCTAATATCGAGTCGAGGCGGGGAGAGAGCTTGTACGAACAGCACAGCAAACGCCGGAAAGAAACAGGCGACGCACCCGGGGAGGAAGAGGATGACCCAAGCAAGAGAGCATTCGACAAGGAGAAGGACATGGCATTGGGTGGACAGATAGGAACCGCCAAGAGGAGGGAACTGATGAATAAATCAGCTAATTTCGGAGGCAGGTTCCAGAGAGGAAACTTCTTATAAATATATTTCAAGCTTACGGATTCCTCACTTGGATTGGATCAAGCTAGGTATTTAAGGGCTGCATGTGTTCAAATGCGTTATTCATTTATTGTAATCTTGTCATGTATCTCTCCTCCCCTTTCAACCGTAGATGCTATGTAAAACCCTTAAACTCCGTCGCTCCGATTAAACGAATCCTAAACAAATCACCAAGAGCTTCCAGCCGTAATGCGGGAACTTCTGCGCCTTTAACTCTGCGCTATATCGAGGATAGCAGCCCCTCCAGCTCGTGCCTATGATCGCCTCCATGAGGCTGAGTTCCCCGTCTTCAAAGCCAACCCTAAAGGCAAGGCAGAGAGAGTATATACAACTGACCGATTCTCGGTCAAAAATATGTGGGAAGAAATTTTTCGTGGTGCTAAGCCATGTTGGCCCAAACTTCCGAGGAAGAATGTTTGTTAGAGAAGCTGGCCTGAAACTTGAGAAAGCCAAATCTGCTTCAAGTAGTAGTTATGTATGTCGTTGTGAGGATAAAGCGATGACTGGTTTGGTTGCAAACAGTATCACTATGATTGTGTAGGCCGCGTGCCAGCCTCCAATTGGGCCGGAGTAACCGTCGTGGCATCCGACTGCTGATTAGCCTGCTCTGGAGTGGGCCTCCGGCCGAAAGTTAAAGCAGAGCGGATCGACGAAAAGACACCGGTGCGAGGTACCTGTTGTGTCTCAGCGGCCGACGAATTAGTGGCCGATTCAGTAGTTGGAGTCGGCTGCTCCTGGGTTTGGTGGGCTGATCGAGCCCGGCGGCTGGACCGAGATCTGTGCCCACGGTTCTGGCCACTTCGGGTGCGAGATGCATTTCGGCTACTCCGGTCGCTGCGGAAAACATTCGCCAATCCAGAGGGCAGATTGAGGCGGCTATTTTGACGAGCGTCGAAGTTGGCTGCGTTTCCATTTTGTGCTTCGGCTTCCTGGTTTGGTCGGGGTTTGGGTGTGTAGTAATCAGCTTTGCATAATGGGCAGCAAGCGCGACGGCTAGTCAACCAAGGATCAACGCATCCGGCGTGGAAAGCGTGACCGCAGGCCAGCCCACGGACATCATCATCATCCTCAAGGGTATCAATGCAAATGGCGCACGAATCACCAGGGGCCTGCAGACACTCAGGTGGCAATGCGGCGTCGATATGCTCATCTCCCTCTTCGCTATCCACACGATGAAGACTGCCGCTTTTGTCCGCGTAAGAGGTTTGGCCTGTCTCGGTAGATTTCGTTGCTGCATCCTTTGTTCGCTCGGTTCCATCGTTCTTCTCGTCGTCCTTATCCTTGGCAGTGACCTGGGGATTCTTGGGTCCATCAGGTGCAGATGCAGCTGTAGAGGTGGCATTGGCGCGAACACTATCAGAGGAGTCTCTGTCGTTGGCTGTGAGGTCAGGGATGATTCCATCTGCGCCACGAATACTGTTGGCGCGGCTTTGAGAGAGGTCAACGCCACCGGCAGTAGGCAGACCCTCTCTAGCCCGTTCCGAGACCCAAGTCTTGTATTTCATCATGGGGAACTTGTCATTGACTTCGTCCATGGTCATGAGCTTTTTCTCGCGACGTCGACGATGGGGACGAGGCATATTCTCCATGTTGATTGGCTCGCCGTCTTCGCCCATGCGAAGGGCTCGGTTACGAGCGTTGTAGCGGAAACAGTATTTAACACCAACGATGATCCTAACGATCGGTTAGACGTAAGGTTCAGGGGCACCTTCAACGGCGTTCATGCAGTCCAGAACTCTCTAAACTGCACGTGGAAGTCATTCTCACCATAAATTGGTAAATACCACACCAAAACCCAACGCAACGAAGAACAGCAACGGGGAACTAGAGTTAGTATTCCGATCGGCTGGTTGAGTCGTCTCTGCCGGCTGGGGGTTGCTGGTGGTCGTTGTGGCAGCGTCGGCTACTCGAACAACAAGGTGGGCAGCCTCGCCGACAATTTGATTAATCACAGCCATGTTGAACCGGTCGGTGGTGATCCTATTGCTGACTCGGGGTGATGTCGAAGGCAGGAACGGTCTGAGCCTTTTAGATGATGGCGACTGTGTCGGACCATTCAAGAACGATCGGGGGGTTTGAACTTGGGCTTAAAGCCAAAGTGCGCCCGCTGGCGTTTTCAGAAACGGGAAAATCGAAACTGATTGCATCAATATGAATGCGGAATGTGATGGGTTGAATTCGATTGCGACTCAATGCTGGATGTGGACTCGGACGTCCACGGACTTCTGAGGTGGGTAGAGGAGAGGAAGGATGGAAATGGCAGGCAGGTAATATTAATGGTGTGAAGAGTGAGGAGAAGAGGAGGCGAAGTGAGCGGGTCTTGGGCCATCTGGGCAGGGAAGGAGAGGGCGAGTGCTGAACTGCGCTGAAGCATGGGGCGCTGGAGTGCAGCATTAGTTCCGCCACAAGAGTCGTGCATGCACACGGGCAGCAGGGGAGGCCGACCAGGGGGTCTCGAGCCAGCAGACGGTAGCTTTTGGCTGGTCTGCTGTTCTGGGTCCGCCGCTGCATCCATCAGTGGAGCAGGAGGCGCCCATATGTATCAAAGCGCCAATATACTTCAATGCAAGCGTGGGCCTGTCCTCGAGTCGCACTGTGATGCCCAGGCACTAGGCCTTGAGCGGCTTGGTGGAGTGCCTGTTGGTGTTGTATCGCGTCGACGTGATTGGCACCAAACCCTCCTTTATTGCCAGAGTGCGGGACATAACCGTGCAACACCCTTAAGCAGTTCCTGATGGTGGAGGGCAGCTTCTGAAGCGTGCTGACGACAACTGCCAAAAGCAACGGACGAGTGTGTGTGGAAGTTGCGCTCTAGCCTCGGGCCCAGCCTGGCCCTTTCTCTTGTCTGGGAGGCCGCTCAGTCCCTTTGTGCGCAATACGCCAAAGAGCTGCGGCCTGTGGTCTGTCTCGAACCTGTTTTATGCACTGCCCGACAACAACAAACAATCTTAGCCATTGCCCTTCCATCTCCGCATCAAGGGTGGCTGACATGGCTGCATCGATTGTGCATACGAGCCGGTTTCAGCAAGTCCTGGGCCTCGAGAGGCCGGCACTACCATCACCGCTGCCACCCATCTATGGTCACAGAGCCATCCAAGCCATCCTTGCTGCCCATCGTGGAGGGGGAAAAGGTTGTCGCATCCTACCCACTCGCACACCAGCCCACAATAACTGGCAACTGATCGACGGTTAGAACCCCAACCTCGCCATCAATCCCGACTCAAGCGATAGAGCTTAACGGCTGAAAGAGCTCCGATGCGTCTTATCCTCGCTTGAATAGCGACGGCCTCGTTTCGTCTAGCGAAGATGACAAATGACTACGGGATTGAACTCGGCGCACTCACAGGCGAAACCCAGGTGCCT